CTTCCTGGTTCATCCAAGTACTATGAGAATGTTGACGACGATGACGAGGAAGACGATCAGACCTATCACACGCCGCATCGATCCAAACCTTCATCCTATGAGAAGGAATACAAGATCGTGCCGTTCTCGAAGAAGCCGGTAACCTTCATGTTTCATTCAACATACGGAAACCAGCTAGAGAACATCCTGAAGAAAGGCCTGAAGCCAGGACGCACCTCAACCCCTCGGGGAAGGCAGCATGTCCACATGGCATGTATCGATGACATCTTCTATGATGATGAACCAATTGAAAAGGCATTGACACATTCGCCCAAAGGACGTGACGCCCTGCTCATCCTTGCCTTCACCAAGGACAATTTCTATAACATCCATCTCACTGGGGAACGGACAGCTCTGACTGAGAACACCATCGATACCTGCGACATCATCGCGGCTTTTGATTCTGGTGGAGAGATAGTGCAACAACATTACTATCTCACGAAGAAGCAACTCAGTGAAGATGATATGGAGACCTGTGCAACCAGGATCTCCGAATTTGCCGATCAATTCTTCAAACAAGTTTTTGCAGGACAAGGAGAATCCGGCAAGGAATCCAAAATCCACTCAGAGCAAGAACCATCAAGCGAGACAAAGAGAAGGAGACGTTCAGCCGAACAGGAAGAAGACATTGACATGCAGGCGACCGAGGACCAATCCATCGTACCGAAGGTCAAGACCGAACCCTTCAACACCGAAGACATAGTTGAATTCAACAAGGAGTTCAGGAAAGTGTGTCTGAGCCGAAGCATGAGCAAGGAAGGCGCAGCCGAAGAGTTCGAAGTAATCCGGAACCAATTCCAGCTATTCATGGAAACATACGAGGAAGATCCGGAAACTCTTCGCAAGAAGATGAGCGCATGTGAATTTAGATCCCTGGCTCATGTAAATCCGGACACCAATTACAGCAACGATGAGTTTTACTTCGGCCATGCAAATCTTTCCCTTCTATGGATGAATTCCGGGCAGCACAGGACCGTTCAGGTTATCCGATCAGGCTTCCCATCGGGATCAAAGATTTGACAACCCACACAGACTCTAATGCGATCCAAGCATATGCTGACATCCTGGGATCCATAATGATGAAGACTGATGGGCCATTTGAGGACTTCTCCCAGAAGAAGGACTATTCATCCGGACGCGTGCTGAACATCTTGACGGTGAACCATGGCAACCTCATGAGATGTCCGAGACTGGATGGACGTGAACTCAAATCCTGGCCAATCAAACACAGACCACTGATCATGCAGATGCTACAGAATAGTGCAAACATCCTGTGCATCAATGAGGCCGATGCATTCACAGATCCTACAGGTGAGAAGAACATCGATCTCATTAAGCTCTTCATCAGATCTGGATACAAGGGTATTGTGATCCAACAATGGTCAGCGAAAACCATTGCTTGTTTCGTTCGCGGCAATCAGCATGCGAGAGTTGAATTGCTGGCAAGGCACATTACGACACAGTCGAAGAATTGGAGTACGACATGTGGAATGTTCCGGTGCTTCTTTGGACTTGAGGAAAATTGCACCGATCCGGACTATGACATTCCCACATCCGATTGCCTGGCCACAACAGGAAGATCCATGGTGAATCATCCGGACAAATACATTGGACCTCGCCTGCCTCCTGGTTCCCGTGTCCAGAAACACGGAAAGAACGGAGAGATCATCGTCATCGGCATCCGTATGAATGACGAGGTTCGCCGTGCATGCCCAAAATCCGTTGCATCTCAAAGGAAATACTACGATAGTCGCCATGTGACACGAGCAGATCTTCCACTCACCACCGTTGGATTTTTCCACATTCATCCGAACATTACCCACGGTGCAGCTCAGGAAGACTTCCAGCAAGGCATAGTGCCGCTCGTCACGGAGTACCAGTGCGACATCCTGACAGGCGATGCAAACAAATCCGCGAACACTTATTGCAGATCCCAATGCGTGTATAATCCGGAAGAATGATTGATGAACTACATCATGAAAAATTACCAGAAGCATTGGAATGGAGGCTGCAACCAAATTGAAGACCGTTTGGACGTGTCCATGACATCCTCATGCTCAATCAAATCCATGGCTCGCCATCATATCCATACAAGGACTGGTTCAGGATTTGACCGGACTTTTCCGGACTGCATGATGACATTCGTATTTGGCTGGGGAAGAACTGACATCCAGCGAAAATACAGGAGCATGGATATCGAGAAGATGGACGATGAACAGTTCAATGCAGCGAAACTTGATCCGGAAGCAGCTGTATCCGACTATGAAGTCACATCCGCTGAACGTTTCAAGCATTTCACCAATGAGATGCTTATGGTTGGCCAAAATGATCAGGAGTCACACATTCCACTGTTGGTGTACATCCGGAGCAGCGCAGCAACTCGCGAGAGGAACACCCAACGAAGGTATGACTTCGTCCAGAACAAGAAGAGAGAAGAGAAGGAGCAGAAGAAGGAAGCAAGATGGAGCTCATGGGGCCAATCCGGACAGCAGGGATGGAAGGATTACAGCCACGGACATTGGCAGAACTACGATTATGGAAGCCAATCCGACAGCAGTTACAATTGGAGACAGAGGAATTGGTAGAAACCATAATCATCCGGAATTGGAGCTACTCAGAAGACTAAGCTGAGAGTATTCACACGAAACCGCCACCACGAAGACAACATCCAATTGATCCTCATATACAACAATCCTTGTGAGCGATCAATAGTTTCACACAATCGGCACGTGTACAGTGTCTCGCATTTCTCACTTTGATACAGCTAGGTATCACGCATTCACAGTACAGTAAATCATCCGAGCAGAAAACAGGATGAAATCAAATTGTAATAATATACATGGCTACGGCACATAGAATCATGGCTACGGTCAAAGGCCATAAAGCCAATACTACAATAGTAATTCAGTGCTGGACTTCAAAAGAAATTTGTGTCTGTTTTTGTTCTTGTTTTGAACCATGATTGATCTCCATGCAACTGTTTTTGGCTCAAGGCCCTTTTTGTACAGAGTGTATCATAATACGCCGTCCGAGTACAAAAGACTTGCAGTCCGCTTTACAGGAATAATCTAGCAAGATAATCCACCAGGGACTATCCACCAATCCATAGGGACACTGAGGATCATCCGTTGCGGAATAGATCCAGGGACCAACAATAGATCCACTACCACTAGGGACCTGTTCCCATCCGGGATAAGGCCCCCTGACATTGGGCTACAGGGGGGTGATCCTCTATCCTCTCTTAGGTGTCCGACACGCCGAACAATGTCGGCGGACTTCCACCAATCCCGCCCGCTTGAAGTCCTTCCAGCAATGCCGCCAGCTCCGGCTCCGCTGTGAAGAGCGCGATGAGAGCCTGCCTCTTTGACTCCCACTGCGCCGGCTGCCCCACTCTGCTAAACGAAGCATCTACCAACACCTCCAACGTGCCAGACTCTCTGGGCCACCGCCTGGACATATCCGGATCATCATCAACCGGAATATAATGAAGCCCAAGCTGCCAGGTGGTGTTGAGGTACGCCAGAATGTTCTGACCCATCTCAATCGACCAGGAAGGGCACTTCGTGGCAAGCTGAGACATCCGTGCCGCAATGTCTGAGCGCGTTTTGCCGCTCAGCCAAAGCAACTCACCTCCAATCCGCTGGGCTTCCCGCACAGCCTGAAGAGTAGGTGTCTCCTCCCGTCCCTCAGGAACCCTCACATAGTGGGCTTCCGCCTCGACCCGGTGCCTGATCAGCAGCTCCTTCGTGTAGCTCTGCTGATGGATCATGTAGTCACCCTGGGCCAAGCGCTGGATCTCAATACCCAAGAACTTCATCGGAACTCCAGCTGGTTCTGCGTGTTCCGGCTCCGAAGTAGGCCACATCCTCTGGATGGCCGCTCCAAGCTCATTTGTGACACCACGGGCTCCAATCGTGAGGATATCGTCCACGTAGACCGCAACATAGCCCCATGTGTCCCCGAACTCCCCGCTCGGAAGCACCTCACAAATGGCCCGCACATTGGCGTCCTGCAGCGGCTTCAAACCCATCTGCACCCATCGCTGCTCCACCTCCTGATGCCATCGCAGGTCACCCGCCCAATCACGCGGGGCAGTGGTCAGCCCATAAAGGGCACCAGTGATAATCCACTGCTCATCCGCAGGAACCAACCCCGCTTCCCACATGATCCGCGGTGGTTGTACCACTATGAGTTCCTCAAAGCTGAGCTGAACAGCTTTGAGGAGAACCAGGCGATCCAGAGGGTCTCCAAAGACCAGGCCGACCGGATTATGGAGCAAGCCAAGGCAAATGGCAGGACCGTGGAGGCGATTCCAGCGATGGGTGTCTTCATTCGGAAGGCGGGCGCTGGCAGACATCGAGCTCGGATTGACTGCTGCGGCAACTACACGAACGAGCGGGAGACGCGCGAGCTCTACGCGAGTGGTGTGGACAGCACTCAGGCACGTGTGCTACTCAGGAAGGCTGCACTGATGGGCTGTCACGCCCATCCATGTTCCTCCTCACCTCCTCCTGCAAGGAGACCTTCCTGGTGTGAAGGAAGAGGTCCTCAGTGGCTTCCATTGCCTCGGCAATCTCCGCCCTCCGGACCTTGACTTGAAGCTCCTCCAGGCTCTCCTGAATCGCCTGGTTCTCACGGTCCAACTCATAGATCACGTCCATCGAGACTCCATCATAGTCCACCCCCTGATCAATCCTCTTGATCTCCTCGTTGGACAACTCACAGCCTCTCCTCAACTTGTGCTGCAAATCCCGCAGCTGTGGTTTGTGTTTGGATTTGCCCACCCTGTTGCGGACTGTCATGTTTCGGCCCGAAACCTTAACAGGGGCCCCTTGCGCCAGTGACACGTAGAGAAGAGAAAATGCGCATGGCTGCGCACGTGGAGTTCGACATTTAGAAGGTTTGCATCAACTTTGTTTACAGTGGTAGGCGGAGCCTTGGCTTCGTGTGCCAGGGCAGCGATGAAGGGGGTGGGCCTTCGACAGCCCGTGCCAGGGGGAGGATTTCTCCCGTGGGCGGGCGGCCCACCGTCAACCAGCCAGATGATGGCTGGCGGTCAACTTCTTTCAACCCTCCCGGATCCCGAGGGATGACCGGATGCGGAGCAGGCCAACCTGGGCTCGGACCTCAAGGGTGTAGCTCAGGGCAGCCAGGCCAGCACTGTGGCGGCGGTTTCCAGCAGGCAGCCGGCCTCTGCGGACAGGGCTTTGGCGGCCAAGCAGGTGGACAACCGCCTGGACTTGGAGGTGGAAACTTCCATGGAGGCGGATGCGCGCCGTGTGGTCAGAGCGGCGATGGTTTGGGCGGCAACGCCTATGGTTGGCAAGGTGGTAATGCACCTCATGGACCAGGTGGAAATGGACCTGGATGGCAAGGCGGCAACGTTCCTCACGGGCCAGGTGGCAACGTGCCTCAAGGACCGGGTGGTAACGTACCTCAAGGACCAGGTGGAAATGTACCCGGATGGCAAGGCGGTAACGTACCCCAAGGACCAGGAGGCAATGTGCACCCAGCTGGCGCTGGTGTTCATCCATTACAAGGACAAACTACTCCGACTTGGATGCCACCGTCCCCAAGCCCGGCTACGGCATCGTCGCAGCCCATTTACATGTCTGCAGCAGCGGCCGCAAATGACCTGGCCACGCCCCAACCGAAGGCGCATGCAGGCACAGTGGGCAGTGCTTTTGAGATGATGGGCAAGTCGGTTCCATCGGCGGCTAAAGGCTCTTCAGGCCCGGAGACCAACGAGACCTTGCTCCTCAAGGCAATTACCACAGCTTTGAGCGGCGAGAAGAAGAGCATGCCGACCTGGGGTGGAAGCCTTGGCCACTTCCGCAACTGGATGAAGATGTTGGCAGTCTGGGAGACGGACAATTCGGTGCCACGGAACAAGTGGGGCCTTCGCTTGATGCAGTCGCTGACGGAGGGATCAGCCCCGAGGAAGATAGCCGAGGCGGTCCCTTTCGATGTGGTCATCAGCGAGATGGGCTACTCTGCTATCTTGACGAGTTTGATGGAGCGCTACCAGCCCTACTTGGAGCCCATGGGACCGGCAGAACGGTCCCGCAATGAATCGTTCGCGGTCTACGTAGCCAGCAAGGCCACGCTCCTCCAGGAGATGCAGGCGAGTCTGGGGATCGTGGTCCCGGACGTGCTCGCGGGAAGGGTGTTGTTGAAGCACGCCAACCTGACCGACCAGCAGCGGGAGAACTTTGTGATGAAGAACAAGGTGCTGATGGGTTTCACGGAGGTGGCCAACGCGCTGAGGCCATTGGATCGACCGGAAGCGCTTGTGAAAAGTGTGAGTGTCATGGCAACTTCCCACAACGAGCCCAATTACGAGACTGACCAGAGCTACCAGCACGACCCAAACTACCAGCACCACTACCAGTACTACGCTCAGGATGAGGAGATGCTGGATGAGGAAGTTCCTGAAGCTGCTGATGGAGACGATGAGCCGACCTCTGAAGAGGACTCCCACTTGTACTTCAACATGGAGCAGAAGGAGCTCACGGAGTCGGAGGCGATTTACCTGCAGGCCTACAACTCTGCGTATAAGGAGGTGCGGAAGGACCTGCAGCGCAACCGCATGGGCCGGAGCTACTACAAGGACAAGGGCAACGGCAAGTTCGCCAAGCAGTCCGGCAAGGGCAAGTTCGGCCAGAAGTCGGGCAAAGGCAAAAGCTCACTGCGAGCCGAGTGGAAGAAGAGGGGATACAAGGGTACGCCCGAGGATTTGGTGGCCAGGACCCGATGCTTCAACTGCGAGGAGTTGGGCCATTTCGCGAAGGACTGCCCGAAGCGCGGATCAGAGGCTCAGGCCTCGAAGCCTCGCAACAACTTCTTCATGTGCTTCGGCAGCCAAGGCCCCAACCGGGTGTATGCTACGACCTCGACTTCCTCTACGGCAAGTTCAAGTGTGTTCCTGGGCGTGACCCACGAGCGCGGTGAGGCAGTGGTGGACACAGCGGCGGAGGACGGTGTCATCGGATTGCAAAGCTTTGAGAACTTGAAGGAGATCTTGGCGGAGAAGGGCCTCCAGCCGATCGAGGTCGGCGAGAGCCATTTTTCGTGCAACGGCATTGGAGGCGAAGCCAAGATCATGGGCACATGGGACATCCCCTTGGGCATCGCCAAGATTAGCGGCGTTTTGAGAACTACGGTCCTGGAGGCCGACATCCCGTTCCTGCTCCCCGTGTCATTCCTGGAGGTTACTCAGGCGGTCGTGGATGTGGGAGCGGAGGAGCTTCGTTTTGGATGTGGCGCAATCACCAAGATGCGCCGACTGCCATCGGGACATCGTGTGGTCTCGGTGGTGGAGTTTGGCAAGCATTGGTCCCCGCCACCTGTGCTGCGTGGACCGGATGGAGTCGACCCGTTCGTGATCAAAAAGCCCGACTCCACCTTGAAGCTACGAAAGGGGAAGAACCACCAAGTTTCATGGGCCCAGGAATCCACTCAATACTTCACCATCGGGGAGAATGAAGAGGTGTCCGAGGGTGAAAACTCAGATTTGCATGAGTGCTATGAGTTGGAGTGGCACGAAATTGACAAAATTTCGGTCAGGCAGGAAGGTGAACATGAAGTTGATCAATTTCGCGTACGTGTTGGTGCATCGGCTGGTGAAATTTGCGATCCGGCTGTTGTCGGCTCAGCAATGCTGCAGTCACTCAGCCCCTCGTCAACCAACCAGCACCTGCAGAACCCCCTTTCACGCCATGGCAGCCTTGCGGGCACAGGCTCTTCGCCTCATGGAGAAGGAGGAGACCGAAGAGGTAGCCACAAGCCGCAAGATGAAAAAAAAAGAAGCTGCACATGTGGAAGCGAATGGTGCTGGCGGTCATCGCGGTGATCCAGAGCTCGCTGCAGGAGATGGTGGTCGAGTACCTCACCAGGAGGGCAGTCACGAACGACCCGGAGGCCAACGACAAGATCAGAACCAGAACCTCCGCGAAGGCGAAGCCCAAGCCGATCATGAGGAGAGGCATCGGATCACCACTCTCGCGGTCCAAGGCAAGCAAGTGGGATTCTCTGCCGACCCAATGCGAGCACCCGTCCAACCACCTGGTGCAGCGCGGGACGGCCCACTTTTACTGGTGGACATGCACGAAATGCGGAGCGAGGTGGAAGCGTGTCGAGTGGGAAGGGGACCACGAGGCCAACCTGGCCCAGACGGGAGCTACCTCATCCAGGGTTCCCAAGAGCAGTGTGGCGTACCCCAAGCAGCTGCCGCCACCGAAGTCAAGGCCGGAGTTGAAGAACCTCATCGTGAAGGCCACGGAAGTGATCGAGGAGGATGCGGATCTGAAGGGCGACCTCAAGTCGATCAAGGACATCAAGAACCGCGTGGAGGCAGCCGCGTCCCAGGGCACGATCAAGGACATCAAGACCGAGCAGCCGCGTGCGAGAAAGGAGAGGCCCCTGGCAGGGCTAAGGCAAGAACGGCGTCCCAGCAGGCCTCGAAGCCAGAAGCCGGAGGCGGAGTACTACGAGATCGCCAAGTCGGACAAGGACCTGGACTACGACATGGTCGCGAAGGAAGTCCCGGTCCCGGTGGACGAATCGGACTAATCCGGGCCCTTGGGGAAGGGCCCAGATTTCTCCCCATCACCACTACCCTCATGTGCTTGGCGACGTGCTTGGGAACCACTTCTGCGTCTACGTCAGGTGGAGGTCCATTTCCCTTTTCTACTACAACCGCACCAGCAGCATCAGGGCGTCCCCCGGATGGCTGGGAGGTCCAACGATTAAGGACTATTGGACAGCCAAGGGCGAGGACGTTCTGCTTCGGACGCACGTGAACGCCAGAGAGGAGCTCTTTGTTCCGCAGAAAGTTGCTGGACTGCCGGTCAGCCCTGACGAGCTTGACTCATGGCGCAAGACGGAGATCTACTATCAGAACGGCACCATGGAGACGCACATTGACCAATGGCGAGACAAACCTCACGTGCTACCACCACTCACGGAGATGTGGACAGGCGCAACAACCTTCCGCCTGAAGAACAAGAAGCCAGAGCTTGGGAACCTGGTGGGCAACTACGTCGAGTTTGAGGTTGGTGCCAGCCTCATGGAATTGGACCAGTCCTTTGAGACCGAGTCCCTGAGAACATGCCGAAAACTTCCCGGCAGTACCTCTTGAAGGCGATCAAGAACTATGACCGCACCATCTCTGAGGTCTATTCGCCACCAAGGGTGACCTTGGCAGCTCGTGGAGCGGGCAAGGCCTACGATCTCAGAAATGGTTGGAATTTTTCCAAGCGGACGCATCGCCAGGGTGTTCTACGAGAAATCCGGGAGCTAAGGCCGGCACTCCTCATTCTGTCCTCACCGTGCACCAAATTTTCCTTGCTGCAGAACCTCTCGAAGGCCAAGCGGGACGAGGCAAAGTTCCAGGAAGACCTGAAGGAGGCGAAGCAGCACAAGTCCTTTTGCATGGAGTTGGCGCGCCTACAGATGGCAAACGGGCGAGGTTTCCTGTATGAACAACCTGCAGGAGCTACGTCTTGGCAAGAAGACGATGTGTTGGAGCTGGCCAACCACCCGGACGTGGAGGTCATCCGATGTGATTTGTGCCAGTTCAGTTTGAAAGCTGAGCCCCAGGATCCCAACTCCCTGCTGGCCAAGAAGCCGACTAAGCTCATGACGAACGTGGAAGCAGTGGCAGAAGTTCTACAGCGGACCTGCCCAGGAGACCATCGACACGGTTGGCTCATTGGAGGAAGACCAGCCTAAGTACACGGACGAGTTCGTCAGAGCAATTCTGGACGGTCTGTCCAGAGCGTTGGGACAGCAGTGCTACAAGAAGCCCAGCATCTACGGCAGCTTCGTGAACCGCTTGCCCTATGACTTGGAGGCGGATGTGGAGAAGGTGTCGAAGGTGCTGACGGAGAAGGACAGGGACTATCTGGACCTGACTGCCGAGATCGAGGAAGAGGACCAGAAGTACATGTTCGGCATGCAAAAGGGCCGAAAGAGGCTTCTGGAGTCAATCCAGGAGGAAGAAATGGAGCAGCAGCAGAACGAAAGCGATCTGCCGCATGATCCGGCGGCAAGGGGCTCCGAGGAATTGGCACTGCTCCCGGAGTCTGCTGACGACGAGCAGGATGCCTTTCAACGTGCCCAGATGCAGCTGCAACCTCATGGACTACCAGACCAGATCCGAAAGAAGGCCGCAGCCTCGAGCGATCATCGCTGGGAAGCTGAAGGCAAATGGTCCCTTCCACCACAGCAACGTCGAGATGTGATGCGGCTCCACAGGAACTTGGGTCATCCTGATCAAGCCAGGTTCCTGAGGGCACTCAAGAACGCGAACGCCCGAGAAGGAGTCATAGAATGGGTCAGGCATCATTTCCGGCGCGACCTGTGTGAGCAACTTCAACGACCATCACGAGTTCGGCCTGGACACCTGGTGAAGGAGATGCACTTCAATCAAGTGGTCGGAATTGACCTGGTGTTCATCCAGTTCGGTGGCGAGCTCGTGGTGTGCCTCAACTGCCTGGACTGGGCGACCGACTACCAGCAGGTAACGATATGCGCAAACAAGACTTCATGGGTGGTCTTGGAGAAGTTCATGGAATGTTGGGCGAAGATCTTCGGCTACCCGGAGGTGGTCATTTCGGACCAAGGAGGTGAATTCCTGGCGGACCATTTTGGAACCCGCCTGGGCATGGGTGGAACATTGATCCACCATACGGACTCTTACAGTCCATGGCAGAATGGCCGGACAGAGAGAGCGGGCCAGACCTTCAAAAGAAAACTGGAGTTGGTCATCAAAGAGATGAGCATCACCACCTGGGAGGAGTTCAAGTTGGCGCTTGTGGAAACGGTGAATGCCCGGAACCAATATGCCCAGAAGTGTGGCTTCACACCACACTAAAGGGTGTTTGGAAGGGGCATGCGCATCCCGGGCAGCCTCATCGACGAGGACAAGCTGGACCCCATCATGATGCAGGCGGCAGCGGACTCGGAGATGAGAAGAACCTGGGACATCCGAGATCAGGCAGCTCAGGCGTGGATGAAACGGCAAGACGATGAGGCGGTGAAGAGGGCTATGCGCACCACGTCCCGGTCTTCGAAGGACGTCAAGAACAAGTCCCTGGAGGTTGGGAGCTGGGTCTACGTGTGGAGGCACACCCCCTACTTCAAAGGTTGGGCAGGCGCAGGGGTGCTCATCGCCATCTCCCCTGCGGGAACGTCAGCCTGGGTGTCTTTGAGATCAAGGCTGCTGAAGGTGAGCATGGAGCAACTGCGAGGTGCGACTGAGGAGGAGGATCTCGGAGCGGCTTTGGTGAAGGAGCTGGCCAGCGATTTGGCCAAGCAACTGCAGTGAACTCCGCAGCTCGCGTACCACGATGCCACGGAGGAAGGCCTGCCGGAGACCGGAGAGGTTGACATCGAGCTTCAGCCTGAACAACGTCTTCGTGCCATAGCTGACGCCCAAGATCCACCACCACTAGCTCAAGAGCAACAGCAACAGCTAGCACTGCCTGAGCCTCACGCACCACCAGCACCTGACGAAAGGCCACCAACTCCGATGTCGCAACGGAGTACGGCCATTGGAGAAATGCAGGTCTCAGAGACCGAAGTGGCCAGCCACAGTCGCCAGGAGTCTGTGCCGTCCACGGGAGCCATCGTCATCGACGAAGGACGGCGTGAACCACTGCAACTTCCGCAACGAGCGACTTCGAGCGGCTCGAACCGATCGGAGCCCTACCATAACCACAACCTGGCGGGATGGAATCACACCCCGTGCAGCTACTTCCTGGAGTGCGAGAACACCATGGGAGACAAGCCAGCTCAGTGGAGGTTCAACCGCCGAGCCAAGAAGTACCACCTGATGCAGGCCGCCGGCACGAACCAAGCCTTCTCCAAGCAGGATGCGATCGGCATCTACAACCAACACGACCAGTGCATCTACGTAACGAAGGCCAAGACAAGTGCCGGGCAGGTGATCTACTCCAAGCTGCCGGAGGAGGAAAAGAAGCTTTTCAGGGAAGCCCGAAGCAAAGAAATGCAGTCGCTCTTGGACAACAAGGCCGTGAAGGTGCTGAGTGTCCAGGAGTCTCGGGAGTTCAGGAAGATGCACCCGGAGCATGTCATCGAGTCGAGGTTCGTCGACCGCTACAAGCCGAGAGAGGACGACGTGGGCTATCTGGAGGAGCTGAAGAAGCGAGCTCTACGGCGCGGTGAACTTGTACCACCTCAAGTAGAACGCGGCGCACCGAAGAGCAGAAGACCCTCAAATCCATGAGGTGGAGAGGAGCAGCCCGACTCCGGCAACCACGTCGATCCACGGAGCTCTGCAATTGATGAGCTCGAGGTCCTGGCCGGCAACGGTACGGGACGTCAAGACAGCCTGTCTACAAGGACGTCCCACGACGAGGGCTCAGAAGTTAGCTTGCTCCTTGCCCCGGGATGAGACTCCTACGGGGTTCCACGAAGAGCAGCTGCTGCTACTTCTGACAGAGGTCTACGGCCTCGTGAGTGGCCCCTCGTGGTGGAGGGTGAGCCTTTTGCGGGACTTGATCTCCCTGGGCTACAAGCTGAACCCGTACGATAAGTGCATCCTGACGCTGCCAGCCACGGAGCTCAAGAAGGACGAGACCAAGGACTTGCTCACGGAGGGCATCGTTGTCATAGAGGTGGATGACCTGCTCGAGGGCGGCAACGCAAGGCATCAAAGGCTTATGGACAGCCTTTCCAAGAAGATCCTTTTCGGCAAGGCAGTGAGGCTGCTGGGAACGATGTACGCGGGCCGCAGCTTGCGGCAGTTGCCGAACTTTGGGTTCACGATCCACATGGAGCAGTACATATATAAACGACTCACTCCGGTCGCACTGAAGCGCCGAGTGCTGGTGAAGAACGCTCCGGACACCAAGCTGGACCCTGAGGAACAGTCTCAGCTGCGAGGCGTCCTAGCTTCGTTAAACTGGCTAGCACGCGAAGGAAGGCCGGACGTCGCGGCCGCCGCTTCGATCCTCTCCGGCGCCTTCCCTGACCCGGTGATGAGCGATCTGCACGAGGCGAACGAGGTGGTTCGCCATCTGAAGACCACGCCGGTGGAGATCCGCATCCACGCGATCAAGGGGGAGGATCTTCGGTTGCTTCTGGTGACGGATGCCGCGTTTGACACGAGCGGCAAAGAGAAGTCCCAGCACGGCTGGATCCTGGCCGTGACCAACCCGAGCATGAACCAGGGCACTGATGCAGTGGAGGTCAAGGCGTTTGAGACGGAAAGCAGCATCAACCACGCTGTGTGAGGCCATAGCAACGTCAACAGCTTTGGCAGCCATGGAGAAGTTTCAGGCCTACCTGGAGTCCATCAGGTTGGCCAACCACTCGCCTCGGAAGCACCAGAGGCTGGAAACCGACAACATGGAGCTGAGAGGCCAGGCCACGGTCGTCGCGAAGGACAGCTTGCGGTACCGTGACCCCGAGGCTCTGGTGATAGTGGACGCTAAAAGCGTCTACGACGCGCTGTGCTCAGAGACGTGCGGCGGGGACTGTGAACGGTCTCAGCTAGAGTACGCAGTAATTCGAGAATCAATGAGTTTGCTTGGCGCTAGGCCCCGCTGGATTCCGCATAACAAGAATCCGGCTGACCTTTTAACCAAGTGGAAGAAAGGCCACGCGGAGCCGATGATGTCTCTTCTTGCATCGGCTTACTTCAGAGTCCAGGCCGAAGCTGATGAACTTGCAGCTGGCAAGCAATCGACTTGCCGCTTGAAAAGCTCGGCCACCGCAACAAGGTGCTAAAGTTTTTTGGGGGCTGTGGTTTGTGTTTGGATTTGCCCACCCTGTTGCAGACTGTCATGTTTCGGCCCGAAACCTTAACAGGGGCCCCTTGCGCCAGTGACACGTAGAGAAGAGAAAATGCGCATGGCTGCGCACGTGGAGTTCGACATTTAGAAGGTTTGCATCAACTTTCACGACCGTCTTCCCCGTGATCCGAGTCTTTGGCTCTCCCAGAGCACGTAGAGGACCCTCACCGGCATCCTTCTCCTCAAGCTCCAGGATCTTGGCAGCCGGAGCATCACCCTCCAGTTTGGCAAGCGGTCTGACATCCACCGCCCTGATCCATACCCGACGTCAAAGACATGGTAGTATCCGGGCCGCGAATCCAGCCCTTCTTCTTCCGAGCTCTCCAATGGCCCTGGAAGTCATCCCATGCCTTCGTCTTTACCATGACCTCCTGGTTGTAGGGCAACATGTTCGGAGTCTCAAAGCCCAAGGCCGCCAATTGAAGCCTTCCTCTTCTCTCACCGATCTGCTTGGTGATCATCGGCCAGTGGTTCTCCGGGAGGCCCGTCGCCCTCAACACGACATTGACCCCTTGTCTCACCAGACCAACTTCACCTTCAGCGCATCCGTCGTTGGACTCCCAATCACCGCCAGAGGTGTAAGTCCGGTAGATGCCACGAAGAGCGCACCACTGCTTGATGGCTTTGCCCCCCAACTCACCTGCCCGGCCAGAATGAATCCTTCTGACGTCCAATCCCAGGTATGCCAACCTGACCACCATTCCTGTTGGGGAGCACCTCCACCATGGTGTAGTTCCTCACCTCAACCTCCTCTGGCTCGATGAGTCCCTGCCACTCCTCAACTCGACCTGCATCTCCATCTTGATGAACTGGAGCATCAGGATCATCCTCAATCTCCGGCACCAAAGGTTGCTCCGGGTCGATATCCTCCTCAAGGGGCTTTTCCAAACCCAGCACCTTCTCAATGCCTGGCGCAAGGCCAACAAGCTTCTCCCCCTTGGTTGTGACAGGTAAGGTGAAGACGCCGACCATCATGTACTTCGCCTCTGCCTCACCATGGTTTACACCAGGGCGAAACGGGTCGATCGAAAGGGTGGAGGTGTCCGGGCTGGGAACCTTGCGATGGGCTCTGCACCTCCCAGCTCCTCGTTGGCAGTCTGCACAGTCCCTCATGAAGGGCTGGTGATCCAGGGCACAATGCCTCGCCCAGTCCTCCTTGGCCAACTTGGATTCAAACTCCAGAAGGAACCCCTTGCCTTGAAGGCTTCCGGCCAAGCCGCCCATGTGCGAGAGATCTTCACCCTCTCCTCCAACGGCAGGTTGAAGACGTCCTGTCCTCCTCCACCAGCCTTGCAGGCTCCCTCCAAATGGGTCCGAAGGTTTGTGCCTAGCGTTGTGGGCTTCTTCCGCGGGTGCCCTAGGGCACCCAAATCCAACCTCACCTCGTCCAAGGCATACTTCTCCTTGAAGGCCTTCCACTCCGGCCACGCGTAGAAAGACGGGTAGTCCTCACCATCCTCCTCCCGTTTATACTCCTCCGGGTCTCGCGGATGCTCTTTCATGAAGATGACCTTCCTCCTCCGCCCGCTAGGGTGAACAGCCAAAGCTGCCACATCCACAGCACTGCATCATTGAGAGCCAACTCCTTCTCGGAATCCGTGAGCCCTTCGAGCACGAAGGGGCCTGGGGCCAGGTGGTCGATGCCTCATACGGCTCACCGTCCGGCAAGGAGGTCCTCCCAAAACCCCATCCACATGCCCTTGCTCGCAGGGCTCCGCCAAAAAGCTAGCAATGCCGTCATCCAGCAAATCCTCCTGGTGGTTGTGCTCCCTCCACGCACAAGACGGATCGCGCCTGGGAATCCAACTTCCTCCGCCACCATCCTTGGTCCTTGCCCGAGAAGAGGTGGATCACCAAGGAACGGCAAGCCTTGAACTTCTTCCTCTGCATCCTATTCCACGGGAGATTCCCTCCCTCCCACCTCCCCAATGGGATCACCCTGACCAATAATTCATCCGGCACCTCTGGCCAGACCTTTCGGAGCTGGGTCATCCAGCTCCAAACTTGAGGCGCCACGCTGCCCACCTCCCCGGTCCTCAGCGCGCGAAGCCTCCTGTCCAGCTCTCCCTCTTCATCTTCCAACTTGGCGATGAGGATCGCGGCTTGCTCCATGCTCACCGTAGGGCATCCCCCCCAAGATCGCTTCGACCACCGCCCCACTGGGGTCTCTCATCTCAAACAACTCATTCTCCCAAACCACCTTGTAGCCGAGCCTTGCCACCTTGCCCAGGGGAATGATCACCTGCGTCTCAAAGTCCGTAAGGAGGGTCCCAGTGACCTGATCCTGCCTCAAGGTCGCCTCCCCCGCCGCAAGTTCCACCTGGATCGGGTGAGCCTGCTCATACTCCTCCTCGGAGCTTGCCGGCCTCAAGATGCGAGTGGCACCTCCATCTAAAAGTGCCCGACCCTTCTTCCCAGCGAACTCAACTTGATGGCCTTGGTGACCGGTCTCAATGACTTCAGGAGTTGAGCCGCCTCAGCAAAAAGGTCGTTACCCGGCAGCACCGGCGTTGTGGTTGTAGTGCAAGAGATTCCTGATGTTGGCTGTGCTGCAGGCTGATCAACCGGAGCTTTCTCGCCCGCCTTCTTCACCTTCGGCACCTGGAGGTCCTTGACCGGGCACTCAGGCTTCATATGCTGGGTACTCCCGCACGACCAGCAACGCCCATGTTTGCCCTGATCACCCCACTCATGCAGAAAGGAGCGCGCCTTGCCCTTCTCGCAGCCCATCTCGGACAGGAAGTAGCGGCATTGCGTCTGCGACTTCCCCTTGCCTTTGCCATCACCCTTGCCCTTCCTTGTCGGACTCCCGAAACTTGTCCTTCTCGGGCTGTCCTTATCGGACTCCTTGTCCTTATTCCTCCAGTCCTTGGCCTCCATGGCCTTCACCTTCCCGGCCTCCTTGGTCGACTGCACCGCCTGACCACTGTGGAGCAACATCCATCCGAAGTCCAGCCCGTGCCGCACTCAACCTGTATGTGGCCTGCCCGGATGATAAACCGCTCCAGAGCACCGGCCAGCCATGTGGGGTCAGGAACCGAAATGTGAAGCTCCCTCGCCCTCAGCAGCCACCTCTTCCAAATCCGAAGCTGATCCACTGCTTCCCCAAGAGAGCCCGGGTTCTTCGGCTCCACCAACTGACGAATCAGAAGAGCTCGCTCACCAAGGCCACCCGGCTGGTACCTCGTGAACGTTCGGAAGAGGATCTCAGTAGTCGAAGTTTCACGGGCTGCCAAGACCTCGGACTTGAGGGATTCCGGCAGCGCCTTCATCATCCGAAGCAAGACAAGCGGATTACGCGCAGACTCGTTTGGAGACATGACGTTCATTGATCACTGTCAGATTCCTCTCAATACCGGAGAGCACATCATTGTCCTCGTGATCCTGGATGGAGCAACAACACTGCTCACTGCCGAGGTAGTGACTACAACTCAAGAATCAGAGAACATCACTGTCCTCAGGAACTATTTCGACCAGTATCATCTTCAGCCGAAATCCGTTGTCGGAGATCAAGCCTTCATGACAGAGACGTGGGAGCATTTTTATCAATCCCTGGACATCACACCGATATCCTTGGGACCGAACACGCCATGGCCAAACAGAGCCGAAGCAGCTGTTCGATTGCTAAAAGCACAAGTCAAGATTATGCTCAATTCCATCAAGGCAGGGACTTCGCCTGCATCACTCAAGAAGGTTACCTACCGACAACTGGTGAAGGCAGCAGCAACTGTCAGGAACCAAACCGTCACCTACGGGGGTGTAACACCACTGGAACTAGCATTCGGAAGACGACCAGCAGATCTCATTCAACTTGATGTCGCAACACCGGCACAATTGACGATCAAGAAGACCGAAGACGAGCTTTCAGCAGTTCAAATCAAACAGCTTTCGAAGCAAGCTTTTCAAGAAGCCCGTCAATCCGAGGACATCCGAAGAGATCTTGCTCAGAATTTGAGAATGAGTTCCAAAGGACAAGGTATTCTACTGGCAGGAAGATAAGTCAAAAATTCGATCCGATGGAAGCAAAGGCGGAGTGTGGCTTAAAGGGAAGGTCATCTCAATTGAAGGACCCATGATCGGACGTGATCTCGGAACAAGACTCCTCAAGGTCAACATCACGAAGATCCGCAAGGATGAGACGATTCCACCGGGAAGGCCTGGAATCGATTTCCTGTTGCCTGAGGAAAAAGAATCCCTAAAGGGGAAGGTATCCGAACAAGATCCGAAGCCATCCTCCTCCACATCGAAGCGTGTTGTTGGCAAGACAAAGCCATTCAAACCATCACCACTGGCTCCAACACCATCCGAGACGATGACGACAGAGGATCTCTCATCCGTCCCAGAACATGCGAACTGGAACTGCGTTCGCAAGGGCAAGATCCATGTCTTGGAGATATTTTCTGGTAGTGCGAGATTCAGTCAATGCTGTGCACTCACCG